ATGGCGGAATTCATCTAACTATCTCATTAGCCCAAAGGCATTTGTTACGAACAGTTTCAGGGTTTGTTGGTCATTACCGGCTTAGGGGTGCAAACGCATTGCCAACTGAGACAGAGTACTTGGCTGCTTGGTCTGCAGGTGGTGAATCTCGCTGGTGGGAGCGAGCTTTCATCCCTGGAGTCCGACTCGAGGTACCTGCATCGGCAGAGCTTCCATCCTCACTGTCCCTTTCATCTGCACTGCTTGTGTTGCCAGTGGTGTTTGCCTGTTGTGCAGAAGATTCTGCGGTGGTGCTGCTGTTGCTGCTGCAGTTGTCGCTGCTGCTGCTGTTGCGGCTGCTGTTGTCTCTGCTGCTGTTGCTGCTGCTGCTGTTGTCACTGCTGCTGCTGTTGTCACTGCTGCTGTTGCTGCTGCTGCTGTTGTCGTTGCTGCTGCTGCTGTTTTTGCTGTTGCTGCTGCGGTTTCCGCCAGAGTTTTTGGAGAAGCACCACCGTCGGCAGTACAAAGGCCTAGGCCAGAAGTTGGGGGCGGTCACAATAGGCATGGAGGTGGCATCTACAGTGACTCTGGCTGATACTCGTCCACTCTCTCTTACATGTACATAAGTCTCATTGGTTCACCTGCCAGCTCGTCCATGGCGGAGAGTAGGTCAGGGAGTGACAGCTACTCAAAATATCACCTACTCTACACTAAGCTACGATTCTACACTACCACTCCTAAGGGCTCCACTCCGGCCTGATGCCGGGTGGGCTGCGAAATAACGACGAAAACCTACGGAGCTCAAAAACTCAAGCCTGCCTAATCCCGGTGGACATGCAATGCCAAACCCTTGCCACCAGCCAAGAAGTTCAGCTTCACTCCAATCAGCGCAAGCCAGGTGTGTAGGGGGATGAAACAGCTCTCCATGAGGAAAGCTACCGCTGACCAATAACTTGTCCCTGTTCTGTACATTTCCCCTTCTCCCCCTTCCCTGCCACTTTGTTTTCCTTCTTCAAGTGTTGCTTTTCGTATTGTTGAAGAGCATAAGCATCTTGGCGTTGTTATTGACTTCAAATTGTCGTGCTCACCCCATGTGCAGTATGTCTGCAAGCGCACAAGCTCCATCCTTGGGGCTCTTCGAACCCACTGTAGACATCTTCCTCTTTCTTGAAAAAGCTTGTTTTATCGTTGCTATATATTGCCCTTACTTGACTACTGTGATACTGCTTGGTCTGGCATAACTACTACTGTATCGAACAAGCTAGAAACCCATAACCGCATGCTCCTTAAAATCTTATAAAGCAAAGATCGTCGCTTGCCCTCCGCTAGCCTTTACGAAATTGCCAAGATCAGTCCTCTTTCCACTCGACATAGGTACCACCTCTGTGTTCTCATACATAAAATATTACATGTACTTAACGAGAGAGCTTGGAAGCTCAGGGCCCTACGCTATGCTTTTATGCTTTTTTGACTAGCTCATCGTACATGTTATAAGAACTGATGGAAATGTCTTTTCCGTTGATTGGCCACATCACTGTATTGCAAAAACGTTTCAATCGGTTTGAACATTATGAGTTAGGCAAAAGTATTTGCAGAATTTATTGCGGATTGTTATTTCTCTAATAATCATCTACTTTTTGTTTGCTCCTTCTTTTCTTTTTACCTCCTTATACTGTAAATCAACAAATTTTGGCCGATGAGAAATAGAAACCTCTCTAGTAGAGAGGTTAAGATGCACGTTATTTCCGACATGACGTGCAATTTCACGTCAAATTTGAAATCGATTGGTATTTTTGCTCTCACATGCATCCATTGCTCAATCATGCATCATTTGCCTATATGACAAACTTTGGCCTGCGATTTACTTTGGCCGGTTGGTACCAAGCGGCGAAATCAGCGAAATTAAATCGCCAGCGAAAATTAGTTGATTTTAATACAGTAATTGGATTTTCTGGCCTTTTTGTAGTAATACGGTAAAACCTGTAGCTAAAGACCACCGTGACTAGCGACCAGCCTGGTACTACCGACCACTTCACCAGGCACGGACGGTCTCAATCAAAATGCACTGTGACTAGCGACTACCTGCTGAATGCGACCAGCGACCGCCCTTTCTTGCCCCAAAGACGATTATTGACCCGTAACTAGCGACCCTAAGTACCAAATCAAATGTTGCTCGAAGCTCCTTCTTGAAAATTTGCTGATTTTCCACGGTCCTGAAAGGACTCTTTCGATACTACAGCTGAACAAATGAACACAGGTCATTTTGACTGTCGAATCGGTGTGGACTGCACTACACCTGTCCAAATTTCAAGCTCTGTCAAGAATAAACACGATAGGAAACGTGATCGATGTTGCTACTCGGAGAAGAAACGAAGACAGAGCGGCTCTGACACCCCAGTCATACAGACGAATCGACGATGGCATCAAGGAATCCAGAAACAAAGCAGCACCGCAAGGTCCTGATGCTGAAGGATCGCGTTCAAGCAATCGAGAAGTTACAACAAGGACAGTCGGTACGATTGATCACATGAACAAATTCGAAGCCCAGCGTAAAAACGAAACTTCTACGGGGAACGTTTGACTCCTGGCTCAGAAGTAGCAGCTGAATTTGACGTCTGCAAAAAGTAGTCTTCTCCTTCTGTCTCTCTCCGTCTCTGGTCTCTCTCTCCAAGTGTTGTTTGACCTGAAAAAGAATGGCAATGCGCAAGTCCTGGGGAATCGTAATAGCTGCATTTTTACATACATATCATATACGGGATCCATATATGGTCATGCAGTGCAAACCTCTAACTAAAGACCACCTGCCACTAAAGACCGCTTTTGCTGGCACCAAGGGGTGGTCGTTAGTCACAGGTTTTACTGTACATGTACATTGACCTGTTGAGCCAATGACGCCGCCGAATGCATGGTTGCCTGTGGAGCACATTACATAACTTTACAGTCTCCTAAAATACGTAACCTGTCCGATGGCAAAAGAGGCTGCAGATTTAGTTTTTCTGGGCGTTGACGGGATGTCTGCGACGCGAAAGTTCAGTTCGTGTTATTTGCCTCGCACGTCGAAAAATCAACGCGAGTGACCTGCTGCTCACGTCGAAATTTGGACATTACATAACTTTACAGTCTCCTAAAATACGTATCCTGTCCGACGGAAAAAAGAGGCTGCAGATTTAGGTTTTCTGCGCGTCGACGGGATGTCTGTCCTGACGTTTACTGGGACCGGCGCTGACTCTGCCGATCACGGGCGTTCTGGACTCGACGGGATGTCTGTCCTGACGTTTCCTGGGACCGGCTTAGACTCTGCCGATCACGGGCGTTCTGGACTCAACGGGATGTCTGTCCTGACGTTGCCTGGGACCGGCGGACTCTGCCGATCACGGGCGTTCTGGAGTCGACGGGATTTCTTTTCCGACGTTTCCTGTGACCGGCGCTGAATCGCTCGTTCACGCTTATTTTGGAGACGACGGGATCTCTCTTCCAAAGTATGTTTATGCTGACGCATCCTATCACCTATTCGGCGTGTATTCTAATTTAATTTCCTCCTCGTCTCCCTATTTCTTTCCAAATCTCCCTCTACATCAGGGAGTCGTATACATAATACGAAGAATATTGGTACGGTACGGGACAGATACAGGAGCCCGCAAATATTGTGGACAGCTGTTATGTACAATCCTGTAGAGCCTTTGTAGTCACAGATACGGGACAGATACGGGACAGATACAAGATAGCTCCAGCCGTGACACAAACAAACAAACAAACACCAAATTAAAGCTGTGTGGACCCTGGCTAGCGCCAGACGTTACTGAAGTAACGTCTTCTGCATAGCTACGGGAATAAGATGGAGGCCTATAATTGGTTCTCCGAAACACGGAATACCTGGAACTCATTCCGCCTTCCACGCGCTGCCTCCGCCCTATTCACTAAATCCCTGATCTTTGCTGGCTATGTGTTTTGAGCAACATTACCAACGCAGGCCAAGACCTGCACGTCGATGGATAATTTTGTTGCTAAAATCTCTGCTCAATTATAGGTTTCATGTATTTGCATGACATACTGCTGGTTTGTCTCCTGCCTTCTTCGCCTTTTTTGTATTCTTTTATCTGTTTTACTGCTGTGGTTGGCTTTCACCCTTGTCTCCATTTTTACTGGCCGTCATCATGATTTGCCATGAGATAATGATATAAATACAAATACAAATACAAATGTGTGTACGTTTGTGAATGCGTGTTATTATTATACGCATTTCCGCGGCAGCGTCAACCAAGCAGTAATGCTTGATCCACACGTTCGCTTAAGCTGGACATTGAAACAGAGCAGATGTAGATGTCTCCTAGAGAATGGGGCTCTACAAACCAATGACCAAAGTTAGTACTTCAGTAACATAGAGTAACATGGAGCGTCATAAAATTGGTGTCGTTGGGGGAAACGTCATCTTTATTGTCTCTTCATATAGCATCATGGTCAATGGGTGGCGAGATAATTATAATGTACGAGGCTGAGTTTCCAGATAGTTATTAAAAGATTCAAATAGTAATAATTATTATAGAATGGTTGTTATGAGTTTATAAGGGTGCCATGGCTGTTTCTACACGTCACGGGGATGTGCACAAACACTCTTCACCAGCGCGTTCCATGCTGGACGATCCGCAGCAATCCGCACAATCCACATTGTAAATGTGTGCACGTTTGTGAATGTGTGTACATTTGGGAATGCGTATTTGTCCACGTGTGTGTGTGTGTGTGTGTGTGTGTGTGTGTGCATGTGCGTGTGTGTGCACAAGAGAAGAAATAAGTGTTTGAAAGAACCGCATCTCACACACATACACGCACACACACACGAATGCACACACGCACGCACGCACATACACACACATACACGTACACACATACACATGCGCTGTGATAATGAAGCCGCAATGGATGCAACTCCCATCTTGCTCCTAGGAAATCACCACTCGGCATCACCACTTGACATCACCACCTGACATAACCAGCAATATACAGATATGTTGAACATAACTTACAGCTGGTAGATGTGTTTCCAGAACAGCAGTCGTCTTCTAAGCCTATGTCATCGATAGCAATGTCACCACGATAACCACCTCCACGAATGCCTTCAAATGAAAGCTGAACAAAAGCGTGCAGAAAGGTTACAGTTGACATGAGACGTAAACGGTTATCTCGGATTACCTAGCCGGGGCCGGTAGACGGTCTAGGTATTCAAATGAACTTTAACTCAACTCAATCCTACCTCTCAAGGTCATTGTGGCCTGTGCATCCTAATGCTCTTGCATGACGGAAGACCTACATACATTCTTCTCTTTGTCAACCAAAAGGTGTGCCTAGTGTGGAGGGGCGTTAAAAACTATTGGGACTGACTAACTCCTACAGATCTATGTTAGAATTTTCCACTGACCAGTCTGAACAGCCTACATGTATATAGCACCTTTTTTTGTCATGTGTTGCATACTTGGTAAACAGTTCAAGTAATTATTGTAATAGACGTTCAGGGGCAACAGAAGTCATGAATGTTCTACCTCTAGAGTATTACGCTCCCTCATTTCTGTCTGGTTTGTGTCAAAGTTATCTGCCCTGGTGCAAAGCTTGCTGTGTTTATCACAGCTGGTGCCCTCTGACATTGATGCTTAGAGCCTGTGTGAAAATGCTTTGTTCTTCATTAGACTTTATTGCGATTGATTTGGCCTGTAACTCTGAGCTTCGTTGACGAGACCTAACAAGGTCGAAACAGCTATTTGTTTGGACATTGTGATCGTGTACTGCTGTACTATAAATGCGGAAAACAGCACATGAAGGGAATGCAGTACCGGAACAAACACGTGACAAAGTTGTCAGTCCGGTTGCAGCTTGAACAGCCGCAGCACCTTGATGTGCTTCTTTTGTCGACACAGTTTTGGCCTCAAACTGCGTATGTACAGCGCCTCCAGTGTGAACCTGTGCGCGCTGTTCCGGGCTGGTGTGATGACACTGAAGCTGCTGTTGCGTTCCTGCGGGATGCATTCAGGTTGCGCCTGCAAATGCTTTGTGATGGCGCTATCACTTGTTGCCACACGTTTGTCAGGCGGCTACTTGTACAGCTTGTCTGGGATATGCTGCTTGATCCTTTCGGAGAATCGCTGACATGTCTCACAAACGTACGTCCGCTCACAGCGACACGCGTACTTATAAATAAAATTACTATTTTCAAGAGTTGGTGAAACATCCTTCGCGATAGACCTGAATGCGGGCCTGATTGTGTAAATTACAATGGGGGCTACTGTAGGATAGCAGTTCAAAATTGCAGCTTAATTTTTTGGCGGCGGGGAAGGCAATGCAATTTTTCTTTGCACTTTTCGGCAATTTTGTGATAATAAGCGTTGCAGGTTCAAGTTGTGCAGAAGCTGTATCTGGGCTAGGTTCAAGAACGCTTGTCATGACTCGCTTGAGTACTTTGAGTGGGTAACCGTTAGAACACAGAATATCCTCTAGCTTAGCAATTTCAGCTGATAATAGTGATGGTGAGCAGATGGTTTTAGCTCTGAAAGTTAATGATCTGATCAAATTGATTTTGTTTCTAGTGTCACAAAACGAGTCCCACCGGGTGAAAAGACCTGTGAACGTCGGCTTTCTATATACTGTGGTGAGCAATTCTGTGCAAGAATGTTTAATCAATAATCATACATCAAGAAACGGCGATTCTCCATTATTCTCCTCCTCCATTGTAAACTGGAGAGCTGGGTGAAGATTATTTAAACGCTCAGGAAATTCCTATGCCAGTTTCCGGTTGTGAAATGCTGCGAATGTGTCATCCACATAACGCCTATAGAATTGGGGCCAATGACTGTCTGGAATTGTGTTCTCAAAATATCCAACAAAGATATTGGCTAGCACGGGGCCCAAGGGTGAACCCATGGCTATTCCGTCCCTCTGTGAGTACATATTGCCATTGAAACTGAACTGCACGTCTGATGTGGCTTTGAAAAGCAGCTTCTTGAAAAGATCTTGGGGTATTTGCGGGGCTGATATTTCATCATCATGGTATAGCGACTGTATGCAGATATCTATTGTTTCCTTGAGAGGCACGTTTGTAAAGAGGCTGACTACATCGAAACAGCAAAGGAACAGCGATCCAGAGTTCTCTGCCTGCTGCTGGCCAAATTCCCTTACTTCATCCACGAACTCGAAGGTATCCTTAGTTGCTTGGGCGGAATATTTATTCAGGACTGGCTTTAGTGATTCAGCTAACCACTTTGCCATTTCGTGTTGGGGAGCGCTGATCATGGACAGGATTGGTTGAAGAGGCACGTCTTTCTTATGTATTTTCGGTACGCCATAGAGCACAGGTCGGCACGAGCCAACGGGTCGGATCCGGTCGTAATCTATATCGAGTATTTTTCCAGCCTTTTTGTATCGCAAAAGGTATGCCTGCAAGGCGCGTTCATCCAGGTAAGTGCAGTCATGCGTTTCATTGGGTCCAAGGAGTTGAAAGTTCGATGCATCAGCCAGAATAGCATTCATCTTGTCATTGTAATCACTTCGCTGCATTATCACCACTCCATTCCCTTTGTCTGGCCTGCTGATTATTATATCTTTGTCATTCTTTATTTTCCTGATGGCTGCCATATGCTTGTCGTTGAGGGGATAATCGGTTTTATCTGCTTTACTGTTACTAAACTCTTCTGCAAGATTCGCCAACGCTGCTTGACACGTATCCCTCTTGGCATCACTCACTGGTACGCAGCACTCCAATTGATCATTTGTTAGTTCGAATTCTGCCTGCACAATCTCCTTGTCCATTCTGGAACTAGGGGGGACTCCAAACTTCAAGCCCCTGCACAGTACGTCTTTTTCAATATTAGTTAGCATAACTCCGGCCAAGTTGAGTAGGTGGGAGTGTTTTAATTCGCTTGAGCCCTTCTCATAGCGCACCTCCCTCCTGAGTGCATCGTCAAACTTACTTTTGATCCGTCATTGTAATCTTGAGGAGGTCTGGTTGATGAGCTTCGCGAACCCGAAGCGGTCCAGCACGCTAAGGCTAGTCTTGCTGATTCTCTACCCCCAGTATAAATTCTGCCTTCGTTTTCGTTCTTGCTCATTCCCATGTAACTACTGATGGAAATGGGTGAAAAGCTTTAAGTATTATGAAACTGACAACCTTGTTGTTGTGTGTATATATATTTTTTTTTTCAAGCAGCATATCCCAGACAAGCTGTACAAGAAGCCGCCTGACAAACGTGTGGCAAAAAGTGATAGCGCCATCACAAAGCATTTGCAGGCGCAACCTGAATGCATCCCGCAAGAACGCAACATCAGCTTCAGTGTTATCACACCAGCCCGGAACAGCGCGCACCGATTCACACTGGAGGCGCTGTACATTCGCAGTTTGAGGCCAGAACTGTGTCGACAAAAGAAGCACATCAAGGTGCTGCAGCTGTTCAAGCTGCAACCGGACTGACAACTTTATCACGTGTTTGTTCTGGTACTGCATTCCCCTCATGTGTTGTTTTCCGCATTTTTCCACTGCTCCATACATTCCTATGGTAGTGTAGTGTGAACTTGAGGTGCGTAAGAATATTCTTGCTGATTCTCTACCCCCAGTATAAATTCTGGCTTCGTTTTCGTTCTTGCTCATTCCCATGTAACCACTGATGAAAATGGGTGAAAAGCTTTTGGTATTATGAAACTGACAACCTTGTTGTTGTGTGTATATAAATTTTGTTCGCCTACCTCTCTATTTAAATATTTTAAACGGCGACTGGACCACAGACTAATTCAGGACCTGAATTATGTGTTAAAGTGCAAAGGCCGGATCATCCATGGTCGTGAGAATGCAGACTTTTACGGAACTGCCTTACGTGCGGTGTTGCGCCCCGCTCTATCAAGAAGCGGGTGCAGAGAGTTAAGGCCAAGAAGCCATGGAGAATCGAACGCGCCTTTATCAAGGACGAACTGGAGAGGACCACCGCTGACTTGGAACACTTTCTCCTCGAGTACCGCCGTGTTCTTCACGAAGTCAATCGGATCCTTAGCGTGCTGGACCGCTTCAGGTTCGCGAAACTCATCAACCAGACCTCCTCAAGATTACAATGACGGATCAAAAGTAAGTTTGACGATGCACTCAGGAGGGAGGTGCGCTATGAGAAGGGCTCAAGCGAATTAAAACACTCCCACCTACTCAACTTGGCCGGAGTTATGCTAACTAATATTGAAAAAGACGTACTGTGCAGGGGCTTGAAGTTTGGAGTCCCCCCTAGTTCCAGAATGGACAAGGAGATTGTGCAGGCAGAATTCGAACTAACAAATGATCAATTGGAGCGCTGCGTACCAGTGAGTGATGCCAAGAGGGATACGTGTCAAGCAGCGTTGGCGAATCTTGCAGAAGAGTTTAGTAACAGTAAAGCAGATAAAACCGATTATCCCCTCAACGACAAGCATATGGCAGCCATCAGCAAAATAAAGAATGACAAAGATATAATAATCAGCAGGCCGGACAAAGGGAATGGAGTGGTGATAATGCAGCGAAGTGATAACAATGACAAGATGAATGCTATTCTGGCTGATGCATCGAAGTCTCAACTCCTGGGACTGACGGAAACGCATGACCGCACTTACCTGGATGAACGCGCCTTGCAGGCATACCTATTGCGATGCAAAAAGGCTGGAAAAATACTCAATAGAGATTACGACCGGATCCGACCCGTTGGCTCGTGCCGCCCTGTGCTCTATGGCGTACCGAAAATACATAAGAAAGACGTGCCACTTCGACCAATCCTGTTCATGATCAATGCTCCCCAACACGAAATGGCCAAGTGGTTAGCTGAATTACTAAAACCATTCCTGAAAAAATATTCCGCCCACGCAACTAAGGATACATTCGAGTTCGTGGATGATGTACGGGAATTTGGCCAGCAGCAGGCAGAGAACTCTGGATCGCTGTTCCTGTGCTCTTTCGATGTAGTCGGCCTCTTTACAAACGTGCCTCTCAAGGAAACAATAGATATCTGCATACAGTCGCTATACCATGATGATGAAATATCAGCCCCGCAAATACCCCAAGATCTTTTCAAGAAGCTGCTTTTCAAAGCCACATCAGACGTGCAGTTCAGTTTCAACGGCAATATGTACGCACA